TTGAACCCAGAAAGACACACTTCCTGAAAAGCCATGCCCTGCCCCCCCCCCAATACCCTCTCTCCCAAGGCAATGGCAGGGATTGTTTCCGACTGCTAGGAACGCTGTTCCGTGGCTTGACCAGGCACCCAAGGGTGGGGTGGAGGACAGGGGACCTTCTTACTGTTGCCCACCAAGATGCCTCCTGCATACTGAACCCTGCATGTCCGAGCAGGTGACTCATAGAGGCTCAGCACTTGGCGGGGGGCTGGGGAGGTGGGGGTGGCATGCAGGCAGTCTGCTAAAGGGCTGTCCCATCTCTCTGGTGTCCACCCTCCAGCCTGGTAACCATCAGGAATCGGGAGTTCTGTGCTGACCCCAAGGCACCCTGGGTGAAGAGGATTCTCCAGAAGCTGGGCTCCTGAGGAAACTGCCCAGCGACCACGCCCTTGGCTCCTCCGGGAAGGCTCATGACGCCCAACACTCGGCTGTGACAACTCTCCTCAACATCCAGCCTGCACCAAGGTCTTCGTGGTCCCTGATGTCCATCTCCACAGCTGCCTGCACTGGCCCTCCCTATCTCCCCTCTAGCCCTTCCAACCCACCATCTGCCCTACAGTATGGGGCCCCCTGCTCTGAAGCCTTCCCCAGTTCCCCACTGCCTTAGGCTGAAGCCAGAGAACCCAAGCCTGGCACCCCAGCACTCTGAGTCCTGTCTCCAGCCTGGACCCTCTTCTCTTCATGCCTGGTGGGCTCCCTGTTCTCTGAGTCGACGCCACCCTTCTACTTTGGGGCCTTTGTGTGGTCTTGTGCTGAAACCCAGAACACCCTCCCCATCACTTTCACATGTCCCTCGCCACTAGCTGTTCAAGGTCATGCTCAGTCCAAAACCCTCGCCACTAGCTGTTCAAGGTCATGCTCAGTCCAAAATGCCAGCCATCAAGCTTCACTCGTTAGACTTCCCCTGACCCTCTGCCTGTCTGACAGCCCTGAACACAGTCTGCCCAGAACCTGGGGCTTTGAAGGCTTGTCTTCCAGGCCCACTGGCTGGGACCAAGGTCCACATCAGAGGGACTTTGGTCTCTTAGGCTCCATAACAGCCTGACTCACAGTCAGAGCTCAGGGACTGGTGCAGAGGGAATCAGAACCCGTATGTCCCTTCCCTACCCCTCCCCAGATCTGGGCTCCAGGGCAACTTGAAAAAGACCAGTGGGGTCCATTGTGAAGCCCCAAAATTGTCCAGATTCATCTTCCTTAACTATTTGGCCTTCTTATAACAGGATCCCCTTCCCCCTTTCCTCCACCTCTTGTGGCTTCCTACTTCAGAACAACCCACACTCCACTGTCCCCTCCTTCTTCTCCAAAGAACTGCCAACCACATTCAGGCTATGAAGTTACAAGCTCTGGGTCTGTACGTAGATGAAAATGGTGATTTCTTGGCCCTTGGAGGCAGGAGCTTGTGGTAGCCAGCTCTGTGTGTGTGTGTGTGTAGTTGAACTAAGGAGCCCTTAGGGCCAAACTAAGGGCTGGGATTTGAGACTTTTCGCCACCTCCCTGGGGATAGAAGGGTCCCCAGATAAAGGAAGCCAACCTGACTCATGCGTCCTCCCTTCCCAGGGTATCTGGGGCAGCTGAGCATGGTGGCTGAGCTGTGTGACCCTGGGGAGGCCATTGGGCCTCTCTGAGCCTCCCTGGCCAAATGAGGATGGGAAGACCCACGTTCACCAGGGTTGGGAGCTCGGATTCCAGGGTGGGAAATGACATTTGGTTAGCCAGAAAGCTCAGGGTCTTCCAGGATCTGGGTCCCCTCAGTGCAGGCTATCTCCCGGCCATGGGCACTGGAAGTGCTGGCCTGCCATGAACGGGGCCCTCATGTGTCCTAGGACCCCCACCCCACCCCACCCCCGCTCCACTCCAGGCATCTGTTCTAAACTTACCCTACAGGGCTTTTGGAAAATAAATTCTCTAAAACAGCATCCCTTTGGGTTCCTTGGCATGTATGGGGTTGTCCTTGTGAGGTAGCAGGGGTTGGAGGCCACCGTGGCTCCCCCTCTTGGAGGGACTAACCACTGCCATGGAGATGTGAGGTGGCTTTTCCAAAGTCATCCTGGGGCCATCGGTGGGGGGTGGGGGGTGGGAAGGACTAGGGCAAGGATCTGAGCGGCAGGTGCCCAGGTGCTCACAGGAAAGCTTAGTCCTCTCAGTCACCAGATCGGGCCCTCCCGGGAGTAGCTGCCAAGAGGCTCGGCTGAAACGCCCACATCGAACACTTTAAGTAGGCGTTTTCTTTCATGCATGCATTTATTCACTCACTCACTCAAGAATCCAACCTCAGCCTTCCCTCTTTAAGGGTGGACATGGGGAAGATGGAGAAAGTTTAGTTATCTGGAAAGGCTACCTCCTAACAAACGACTCCAAAACCTCAGTGGTTTAACTCCACCAGAGCTTATTTCTTCTTGGGTGGAGCCTACACGGACATTGCCACTCAGCGAGTGACCTTCCATCCAGTTCCTCAGAGACCCAGGCTTCTGCCTTCTCTGGGCCTCAGCTCCCCAAAGAGCATGGCGGGCTGTGGAGAACTGTGGGAGAGCTCTATGCATCAGACCAGGAAAAGGGACTCATCACTTCCGCCCACGTGCCATTGGCAGCACCCTCACATGGCCACACCTGGCTGCAAGGGATTCTGGGAAATATGGGTCAGCTGATGGGCGTGTCCAGGAGGCAGAGGGGGTGGGTTTGGGGTGCAGCTGGTTCTGGTGCTGAGCTCCTTGAGGCTCCCCTGAGCTCCCTAACTCTCCACATTCCCAGCGTTCCTGGGCAGAGCTCGCATGCCCGGAAGAACAGAATAAGAACCTCTCTGCCCTCCGAGCGCTATTGTGATTTTCTCAAGGTCAGCGGTCCTTCAAAGGGTGTCTTTGCTCCACGTGTAGTTTCCAGGGCAGCAGTTCCCGACCCAGAGTGCTAGTTGAGGGGGTGTGAGACGTGCCAAGGAGGGTGGACCAGGAGCGAGGCCACCTCTGCCTCTCGCTGACTGGGGATCTGGAGCAAGTGACGTTGCCCTTTTGAGCCTCCGTTTTCCCCTCTGTGAAAAAGCAGGGGTGGGGAGGACCCGTAAAAGCCCCTATCAGTACATGCAGCTGTGAGAGTCTGAGCACATCAGGCAATATGGCTAGGTGTGTGCCCAAACCAAGGAGATGCCCGCCGACTCCCAGGGCCAGGGCTCACGGCGGACCCCACCCCAACCAGGAGCCCCACAGGAGTGCCCTGGGCTCCCCATCCTGCTCATCACAGCTGCTTCTGTAACCCCCTCCAGTTCCACAAGCTCCCTGCAGGCTCCTTATTCTCCAGATGAGGAGCTCTGCGCTGCCGAAATACACCGGCAGGAACCCTCTTATCTGCGGTCCACGCTGTTCCTATTTCTAATCATCGCTCTAGTTGTTGCTCAGCGAGAACCTTCCGGCTCCCCCACCCCCACCCCTCACCAGCATCCTCACGCCAGCTTCAGGGTGTCCGGCGGTTTGGACCAGTCCTGCGTGGTGGTTTCAGATCAGGAGAGGTGTGCGTTGGAGCCGTATCCTTTCGTTTGCCTGTATTCAATCTTCCCGCTGAGCAAATCCTCAGAGAAGCTGCACGCTGGAAGAGGACCGTGGCATCAGGCTTAGAGAAAGGTTTCCTAACAACCTCGGACCTGCAGAGGACACGCCCTGGCTTCTGAGAAGCGCTGGCGGAGGAAGATTAAGGACTGCAGCCTTCAGGGTGGAGGACCACTCAACAGAAAGGAAACAGAAGGCCTCAGACCTGGGTCAAGAGGTGACAGGATGAGAAAGAAGAATCCAAGGTGCGCAGGATTTCACTCTGCTCGGATCCCCATTCAAGGCTCCAGGAAGCAAGAGCCTGGAGTCGAGAAATGCAAAGATGGGGGAATCCCACTGCATAGGAGGAACGCTTCCAAGTATTGAAGAGCCCAGGCTGTCACTGTGGTAGTTATATCATTATCAATTTGAGAGGATTATGAGTGAAGGGGTGGCGTCTAGTCTGTCAATTGGATCATAGCCAATGAGGCTTCTGTGTGGGCGTGGCCTTCTCCTGAGGATTCTGGGAAATCCCGTACTTCCTCCTTGGAGGTGGGAGACTCTCTGCTCACACCCTGGGGGACATAGCAGCTGACAAGACACATGGACTCACCCTGATGCAGAGACCCCTGCCAGCGCTGAGATGTTTCCAATGACACTGGATCCAAAGATGTTCTACCCATTGGCCTGTGATCCTCTACATTCAGCGTCATTGCATGTGTTTTGTGAGTGTGAAGAGGACTTTATAGCTTGCTATCGGACATATGGGCTAATATCGGACTTATGGACTTGATCTGGACTGGGTTGGGATGTTTTCTCAATGTTCAGTTCCTCTTGTATATACACCTCTCCCTTCTATACATATGCATGGTTATGAATTTGTTTCTCCAGTCTACCCAGACTCACACAGTCACTTGAGGATTAAGGACCCAAGTCATGGTATTTTCAATCACCTCATCAGCCTGTGAAAGTTGGACAATCAATCAGAAAAACCACAGGAAAAATGGATGCATCTGAATGATAGTGCCAACAAAAAATATTGAAAGTACTGTGGCCAACCAGCAGGGCCAGCAAGCCTGGCTTGGAAGAGGGACAGCCAGAATGTTCCTGAGAAGCAAGGATGGCTGGACATGTTATCAGGAGAGACCAGTCCCTGGAGAAGGACACCATGCTTGGTAAAGAGGAGCAGCAGAAAAAAGAGGAAGGCCCTTGGGGAGTTGAATTGACACTGTAGCTGCAAGACTGGACTCAAACCTATGAACAGTTGTGAAGATGGTGGGGGACCAGGTACTCTTGGGTTCTGTTGAGCTCGGGGTCGCTGTGAGTCGGAACCCACTCCCTGGCACATAACGACTGCCCACTCCTTCCTCGGAGCCCATGGGACTGACTCCCGTCGGTTCCTGTATTTCCCAGAGGCTAGGATTCTCCCAAATCAAAAAGGAAGGGTGTGTTCAGCGTCTCTGGAACTGAAAGAGTTCAAGAAAAAAATTCAAACCTCGAGTTGTCCTACGGAAAGGTTCTACGGGCCAAATAGTGAACGATGCCGAAAACATCAACACAAGATGGAAAAAGGCGACAGAGTCACCCACCAGTGGGCTCAGGCTCAGGATCGAGGGTGAGGATGGCGCGGGACGGTGCGGTGTTTCCTTCTTGTGTGTGTCCGGTCCCTATGGGTAGATACCAACTCGATCGCACCTAACAACAACAACAGGCTCTTCCTTCCCTCTGTCAAAATCCTGCCTATGCCAGCTGCCTCTGCCCTAACAAAAGCTGAAGCATTTTTGACTTAAGTGCTTGCCATAGGTCCTCCTCTGCTCCTCCTCCACGCCCCTGAACAAGCATTCTTTAAAAGCCCCTTTCTTGTGAATTGGGTGAAGGTTTCCCGAGCAGATCAGTTTTCTTCTCAGCGTTTCATACACATTTTGTGTCATCTCATTGGTTGCCATCCCCACAATATCCCAGCACATAGAACTCAATTGAAAAGAAAAAAAGAAAATCCTGGCTGTCTGCCCATTGCAGAATGCCGACATTTCATCCGTCCCACGTCCCTCTGTGACTGCCAGGTCGCAGAGCAGCGGAGACCTCTGCGATCGCAAGGCATACGTGTCAGCCTCCCAGGCACCCCCACCCCTGGAATGGGGTGGGGAGCACCTGGCTGGATGTGACTCCCGACAGGACGCAGGGTGAGCCGCACAGAATTACTCAGAAGGGTGCCCTGCCAAGAAGGCAGAGGGGAGATATAATCACGCCTTGATATTGTTCTTTCAGTTTACAGGAAATGCACGATATAGAGGAACAGACGCTCAAGTGCCCTCACAAGGAGAGGATCGTTCAAATTCGGAATGAGGACCTTTCTCTAAGACACTAGCCTTGCCTCTTCAGTAAGCCAATGGCCTCAAGAGAAAGCCACCCTTGGCTATTCAGTTGACTCTGATGCATAGTGACCCCATAGGACAGTGTGGAACTACCCCTTTGGGTTTCCAAGACAGTCTTTCCCCCATGGAGCGGCTGGTGGTTTCGAACTGCTAACCTAGTAGTGAGCTGCCCAGCCAGTAACCATGTAACCCGCTATGCGGCCAGGGCTCCTTGCTGGGTGACTGCTGTTCGTTAGGTACCATCAAGTTGGTTCCGACTCACAGAGCGCAGTGCTGCCCAGTGCAGCCTCACAATGGTGATGTC